CCCGACCTCAGGTGATCCGCCCGCCTCCACCTTCAAAGTACTGGGATTGCAGGTGTGAGCCACCGTGTCCATCTGCTACTTTCTTTCTCTAGCGAGATGCTCCTGCTGGGCACTTCAGATGACTGGAATCATACAGTATGTGCCTTTTGTACCTGTCTTCCTTCATGGGTTTATGTATTTTTTTTAAATCTCACTGATTGTACAGCCAGAGTTAAGAACCATCCCTGCTAACAGAAGTCCCTTCGTGGAAACAATAAAACTTGCAAAGGCATCTCTCTGAACCTCACCTAGGATCAATCCACAGCAGAGTCCTCCCAGCTCCTGCAGAAAAAGCTGTGAAAGGGCTCTGATTGGCCTAGCTTGGGTCACATGCTCAACCCTTGACCAATCACAGTGTTTAAGAAATAATCACGTGATTCCCTCCCTTGGGCTCTAGCCTAAGGAAAATGGGGGACTTGACAAAGGACTTTTAGTAGATCCAATTTAGAAACTCGTACAGGAAGTTTATTTTATTTTTTTCAGGTCCCTTTTCTGGGCAAGCAAGGCAGCTTAAACTACTAAGGCAAACTGATTAACCTTAAGATATTCATGTTACATGTCTATAAAATGATGCTGCAGAAAAAAAGATACTCTACCAATTTATAGGAAATACAGAAGACTGGGGATCTTGTTAAATGATACCATGAGGATTCAATGGACAAAATTCAGACTGTGGGAAACTCTCCAGAAGAGACAATATATTTGTTTTTTGTTTGTTTGCTTGTTTTGTTTTAATTTCGATAAATAAACTGCAAGGAAAAGAAAAAGAGCTAGAAAGAGAAACTAAAATTGGAAGACATTTAAAGCCACAGCAACCAATCACAATCTATAGGTATTATTTAGATCCTAATTTTTCACAAGTGTATTACATTTGTGAGATAATTAGAAACCTGAATATGAGACATTTAATGATTATATTAAGGAATTATTGTTCATTCTTTCAGATATGGTAATAGTATTTTTAAAATCTTTGTTTGTTTTTTGAGATAGGGTGTCTATCACCCAGGCCAGAGTGTAGTGGCGCAGTCTCAGCTCACTGCAACCTCCACCTCCCAGGCTCAAGCGATTCTTGTGCCTCAGTCTCCTAAGTAGCTGGGACTACAGGTGTATGCCACTGTGCCCAGCTAATTTTTTGTAGTTTTAGTAGAGATAGGGTTTTGCCATGTTATCCTGGCTGGTCTTGAACTCCCGACCTCAGGCAATCTGCCTGCCTTGGCCTCCCAAAGTGCTAGGATTACAAGTGTGAGACACCTCACCTGGCCAAAATCTTAATCTTTTAGAAATCCATACTGAAATATTTATGAATGAAATGATAGGCTGTATGGGATTTGGTTCAAAATATTATGTGAGAGGGAGTGGATTAGGATAGGGATGGAGCAGGCCTGGTTTGGGTTGACGGTTGTTGGGACTGGGAGGGTGGAAACACAGGAACATTATAATATTCTGTCTTCTTTAATGAATGTTCAACACTCCGCATAATAGTTCGGGTATGGTGGCTCAAGCCTGTAATCCCAGCAGTTGGGAGGCCGTGGTGGGGGAATGGTTTGAGCCCAGGAATTCAAGACCAGCCCAGGCAACATGGCAAAACCCCATCTATACAAAAACAAAAATTAGGCCAGGCATGGTGGCCCAGTTGCTTAGGAGGCTGAGGCGGGAGGATTGCTTGAGCTCAGAAGGTTGAGGCTGCAGTGAGCAGTGTTCACACTACTGTACTCCAGCCTGGGCAACAGAGTGAGACCCTGTCTCAAAAAAAAAAAAAACCCTGCACAATAAAAATGTTAAAAGTAACAAAAGAGGGCACGGTGGTTCATGCCTGTAATCCCAGAACTTTGGGAGGCCGAGGCAGGTGGATCACCTGAAGTGGGGAGTTCAAGACCAGCATGATTAACATGGAGAAACCCCGTCTCTACTAAAAATACAAAATTAGCCAGGCATGGTGCCACATGCCTGTAATCCCAGCTCCTCAGGAGGCTGAGGCAGGAGAATTGCTTGAACCTGGGAGGCGGAGGTTGCAGTGAGCCGAAATCACGCCACCGCACTCCAGCCTGGGCAACAAGAGCGAAGCTCCATTTCAAAAAAAAAAAAAAAGTAACAAATGTATGTATTTATATTGAAGCTGTCCTGCCTCTATTTTTTGTTATAGTGGTTTGAGTCTGTGTATATATAAAAGTACTAAAACTGACGGAAGTGGTGGCCCATCTCGAGCAGCCGCTGTGAAGACACCAGCTGCAGTAGCGGAGGCACAGCCAGGGCTGTGTGCTCCACGGAGCTGGAGCCAAGAACAGGCGGGAGCCCTGCACTCCTAGGCACAGCTGTAGCTGCCCAGCCGCAGCTGCAGACCCAGGAACCCCTGCCCTCTCGGGGACCCAGGAAGACCCCCTGCCCCTGAAGGCTCCGAAGCACCTGCTCCCCCTGCCTGGTCTCTCCCCACTCCTGGTGTCAGCTCTGATTCGGAGCAAAGTTGTGGCCAAGCCCATGTGCTGTTGAAACCTAGCCGGGTGTGCATGCACTCAGGGTGGAGCTGACAAACCAGTCCCCTGCCACCTTGGCCCCCTCCAGACTTTGGGCACCAATGATCATGGGAGGGAGGCCAAGCGGGTGGTGAGGGTGGCTCAGCATGGGTCTTCAGGAAACCCTCAGCATGAACAGCCTGGGTGTGGTGGGTGACGTGTAGATGGTGGCAGGAGGCAGACAGGCTTCTGGGCAGAAAGAGGTGGGTCCCCGGTGAAGCCCCACCTTCAAGCCAGGGAGAGCCTAAATCATGGGGGCTGGGTGGTCAGTTCTGGGTGCAGTCTGCTGCCTGAAGTGAGAACTTATGGTGCTTTTTTCAGGCCCGTTCATGGCCACCCATGGACCAATCAGCACGCACTTTCTCCCTTCTGAAGCCCATAAAAACCCTCAACTCAGCCAGACTCACAGAGACTTTGGGATGACCTGCTGCAGATAGGAGCTAACTCCTCTGGGTCTCCTCTCCACTGAGGGCTGCAGACTTTGGGACGACCTGCCTGCAGATAGGAGCTACCTGCTCTGGGACTCCTCTCTGCTGAGGGCTACAGACGTTGGGACTACCGGCTGCAGGAAGGAGCTACCTGCTTCGGTCTCCTTGACTCGTCAGGATGACCTGCCTGTGAATAGGAGCTAGCCACTTTGGGTCTCCTGAGAGCTGTTCTGTCACTCAATGAAGCTCCTCGCCACCTCACTCACCCTCTAGTTATCTGTGTACTGTGTACCTCATTCTTCCTAGATGCATGACAAGAACTCAGGACCTGCCGAATGGTGGGACTGAAAGAGCTGTAACACAAACAGGGCTGAAACACAACCCCCTGGCTCACCACATTGCAGGCAACAAGAAGAGAAGAGCTCTGGCCCTTCAGGGAGCTCAGACCTAGGGGCTCTCCAAGCCAGGGCTGTGACATCCTCTTTGGGGCTCTGCAGTTCCCAGCATCTCCAGGTTTGCAGGTGCCACCACATTACCCTCATTCAGACCTGGGTGCCTGCAGCAGAAGCCACATGCAGTACATCTGGTCCAGCCACAGCTTTTCATGGAGCCAGCACCTGTGGTGGCACCTGGAGCTGCCTGTCCCACCATAGCAGCCAGCATGCCTGGCTGTGCACAGTGGCCAGACCCCATGCTTGCTCGCCCACACACCCGCCACTCCACACCTGACTTGCCCTTGGCAGGTGTGGGACCCGACACAGCCTACTGGGCCAAGTGGGTGGGATGAGCCCAGTGGGCAGGAGCAATATTCAGGCAGAAGGCGCTGCTGGCAACAGAGGTTTTCCATCTGGAAAAATGACACCCCAAGGATCCTGTGACAAAACTACATTTCTTTTAAAAAGGAGGAAGGAGGCAGGAAAATAGCCCTCTGGCCATGGGGAGAGTAACTCAGTGGGGGTTACTGGATTGGGTGGTTGGAAGACTGAAAGTGAAGAGCCTGTTTAGGAGAATGACTCCAAGAATGATGGTGGTGGCAGAAAGGAAAAAGAAAAGATGGAAGCTCCGAAAGTAGAACACTGGATATTTGATATATGAAAGGATTATTGTCAATTTTTTTTTTTTTTTTGAGATGGAGTTTTGCTCTTGTTGCCCAGGCTGGAGTGCAGTGGCACAATCTCAGCTCACTGAAACCTCTGCCTCCCAGGTTCAAGTGATTCTCCTGCCTCAGCCTCCCAAGTAGCTGGGATTACAGGCACACACCACCATGCCCAGCTAATTTTTTGTATTTGAGATGGGGTTTCACCATGTTGGTCAGGCTGGTCTCAAACTCCTGACCTCTGGTGATTCACCCGCCTCAGCCTCCCAAAGTGCTGGGATTACAGGTGTGATCCACTGCACCTGGCCTGTCAATTCTTTCATGTTTGGTGCTTGGTTGGGTTTAGAGTGAAGGAAAGAAGGTATTAAGCATGATGCTGTTTCTGGCCTGGGCAACTGGGTGGCACCATCTCCTGAAGTAGGAAACATCAGGGAGAAGAAGGTAGAAGGGGGATGGAGTGCCACTGTGCATACAGTGACTTTGAGATACCTGTGGGACGTCTAGGTGGAGCTGTCCAGCTGGGTGAGATCTGGGATGAGGTCGTGCAGATACAGAAAGTTGGAACGGATTCGTATAAAGCAGGTGACCAAGGCCACGTGGAAGAGGCAGATGGCCTGGAGAGGGACTAGAAAGGACTCTGGAAAGGAAAGGAAAATCCAGACCAAGGGGATAGTCAGCTTTGAAAGCACAGGCAGAGAAAGAGGAGCCACAACATAGGCTGGAAGGAAATAGCCAAAATATAGGAGGAAAACTAAAGACGGTAAATCTTGTGGGAGTTACAGGAAAGGGGGCAGGAAAAGGGTCAACAGCTCCAGAAGCCACTGAACATTCATATACAGGAAGAAAGGAATACTGTCCATTGGATTCAACAACAAAGACACTGTTTATGACCTCAGTGAAAGCAGTTTCCGGGCTGCTGAGCACATAGGCCAATGCCCTGGGTGGAGGCGTGAATGGGAGGCATACAAAGCTGCTTCTCGTGGCCTGCTCTCCCCCCGCCTCTCAGGGAGGCTGTCCTGTCCACCGCCCTGTGGCCCTAAACAGCCACATCCTGTAATCTGAGGCCAGTGACCTATGACTTGTCTCCTCACTTGAATAAATTACCAGGCTAATTAGGTTCCATTTCTTGAGCATCTGCTGACGGTAGGAGCTGGGCTAAAGATCCTGAAGTTGACTGAAGCTGGAGTGGTCATTATGGGATGGTGCCAGATGGGTAAGTAGAGAGTGGGGAAAATGGCAGAGATGGTCAGAGAGAAGCAGACACACACACACACACACAGATGAGGAAGGAGAGGGCAGGGTAGAGAGGAGGAGGAGCCCATCCTGATGAGTTTGTAGCCTCTGTTCCAGGTTTCCATGAGGCCAGCTATCATTCAGCATCTTGGGTAAGAGGTCTGGGGTGAGGTTGAGAAGATACAGAAAGTCAGAACGGATTCGTGTAGAGCAGGTGACTAAGGTCATGTGGGAGAGAGAGACAGCCTGGAGAGGGGCTAGAAAGGACTCTGGAAAAGAAAGGGAAATCCAGACCCAGAGGATCTATTGCTAGATTTGCATGTGGTTGCCAGTGTGTCCCTACAGGAAGAAGCTCCCTAGAGCCAGCCAGATGGGTCTCTGTTCCAAAGGAACTTGAACAGAACAGGAAGTGAGGAGGTAGAGGGAACAGAACAGGAAGTGAGGAGGTAGAGGGAACAGAACAGGAAGTGAGGAGGTAGAGGGAACAGAACAGGAAGTGAGGAGGTAGAGGCAGTGAGTGTGGATAACTCCTTTAAGAAGTTTAATTTTGCAGGGAGGAGAGAGATGGGGCAACAACAGGATAGAGTGGTGAGAACAACTTAAAGATATATATATATATATATATATATATATGGTTTTTTTGGTTGGTTTGTTTGTTTTTTGAGATGGAGCCTCACTCTGTCATCCAGGCTGGGGTGCAGTGGCGCGATCTCAGCTCACTGCAACCTCCGCCTCCTAGGTTCAAGTGATTCTCCTGCCTCAGCCTCGTGAGTCGCTGGGACTACAGGCGCCCACTACCATGTCTTGCTAAGTTTTGTATTTTTAGTAGAGACGGGGTTTCGCCACATTGGTCAGGCTGGTCTTGAACTCCTGACCTCGTGATCCACCTGCCTTGGCCTCTCAAAGTGCTGGGATTCCAGGTGTGAGCCACCACACCCGGCCTGTTAAAGATATGTTTATGTTGCTGGGGATAAATCAAGCGGAGAAGTTGGACACAAAAGAGAGCTGGGACAACTGAAAAATCAAGGTCTCAGAAGAGTGGATGGTGGGATCATCTTCGAACAGAGACTGTGAGCCCCATGTCATTGGCACCAATGCATTGGGCCCTCGGCCTCCCCAGGACAGGGTGGGTCTCCTCTCAGAGGCCTCTTCTTTTCTTATGTCCCTGGAAAGAGAGGAGCAACAGCAACTGCCGCCCTGTCTTCATCAACCCTGCCTTTCTAATCAGGCTGCTAGCAGCTTGGGTTGGATGCCTGATATTTCACTTCAAATGCCTCCCAGACTTGCTAAGTCAAATCCAGGAGGCATTGACAGCTGTGTGTGATCACTTGTACTGGGACTCTTGAGCAGCACCCAGCTCTAACACAGAGCTTCAAAGGTGGAGCTGGTTATATTCTGGCTGTGTCTTCACTTTTAAGGCATACGACAGCCCCTCGTAACCTGACAGGCATGTTTCTCATTCCTTTTTTTACTTTTTATTTTTTGAGATGGAGTCTCACTCTGTTGCCCAGGCTGGGGTGCAGTGGTGTGATCTGGGCTCACTTCAAGCTCCACCTCCCGGGTTCACGCCATTCTCCTACTTTAGCCTCCCGTGTAGTTGGAACTACAGGAGTCAACCACCACACCTGGCTAATTTTTTGTATTTTTAGTAGATACAGGGTTTCACCGTGTTAGCCAGGACGGTCTCGATCTCCTGACCTCGTGATCCGCCTGCCTTGGCCTCCCAAAGTGCTGGGATTACAGGCATGAGCCACCATGCCCAGCCAAAGCCACTGCACCTGGCCATTTCTCATTACTTCTTTGCAAACACTCTGCGCCCCAGCTCCTCCAGACAGCTCACTGTAGAACGGCTCCCCATTCCTTTTCAGTCTGCCCTACTAAAGATCCCTGAGCAATTTGCGGGGAAGGACTGAGTCTTGTTCATCGAGGTACATCGAACTCCTAGCACAGTGCCAGGTATAGAGTAGCATTCAGTAATACCTGGGGCATACAATTTTCCCTGAATGCACGTCATGCTTTCGCACCTGCAGGCTTTTGTTCATGATACTCCTGCTCCCCAGAAGATCCTCTTCCCATTTCAGACTCTTAACTAGATTCTCCTAATCTACTGTCTCTCTCTCTCCCCTCCAGCACCTGATTACTCTTCATCTTCTTAGCCCGTTGTGCTCTGTCCTGAGTTACCCCAGCATACTGTATTCAAACTGCTGGTTTATTCGATTCACTGCGCTTACCCCCTTACCCCTATTAGGCCTGAAGACAATGGATAGGCTTTACCCATCTTTATATTCCAGTCTGAAACTCACTGTGTTTCTTTTTCTCTTTCTTTTCTTTTTCTTTCTTTCTTTTTTTTTTTTTTTTTTTTTGAGGCAGGGTCTCACTCTATGACCCAGGCCGTGGAGTGCAGTGGCACAATCATGGCTCACTGCTGCAGCCTCAAACTCCTGGGCTCAAGTGATCCTCCTACCTCAGCCTCCCAAGTAGCTGGGACTACAGGCATGCACCATCATGCCCAGCTTTTTTATTTTGTATTTTCAGGGGAGACAAGGTCGCACCGTGTTTCCCAGGTTGGTCTCCTAGGCTCAAACGACCCTCCCACTTTGCCCTCCCAAAGTACTGGGATTACAGGCATAAACCACCGCGCCCGGCCTACTCTGTTTCTTAGCAGCAATTGGAATAATGTCTGCTGTATAGTAGGTATCAATATACCTGTGTAATCCACGTAGGACAGGCTTCTCTTCTGTGTCCTGGAGTACTTCTTGCTAAAATACAACGGGGAGAGATGGGACAGGAATTAAATCAGTCTCACTCTCAATTTTGAAACTGCCTCAGACCATAGGACTCTCTAAGTTTAGTGACACCTGGTGGCACCTCCATGGCAGGGGTGGAGGGCTACAGCTCTACTAGAGACACTCACCCAGTTGATCAGAAAGTGCTTACCACCCTTTTGGCCACCTTACTAGTCCCCACTGACTGCTAAGGAGTCCACAACGAACTTGCTATGGGAAAGGGGTCCCCAAGAGAGTGTTCTTGGATCTCTCACAAGAAAGAATTCAGGGTGAGTCTGCAGGGTAAGGTGAAAGCAAGTTTATGAAGAAAGTAAAGGAATATAAGAATGGCTACTGTGGTCAGACGCAGTGGCTCACTCCTGTAATCCCAGCACTTTGGGAGGCCAAGGCGGGGCGGATCATGAGGTCAGGAGTTTGAGACCAGCCTGACCAACGTGGTGAAACCCCATCTCTACTAAAAATACAAAAATAAGCCGGGCGTGGTGGCGCACGCCTGTAATCCCAGCTACTCAGGAGGCTGAGGCAGAAGAATCACTTGAACCCAGGAGGCAGAGATTGCAGTGAGCCAAGATCGCGCCACTGCACTCCAGCCTGCATGACAGAGCTGATTTGTCTCAAAACAAAACAAAACAAAACAAAGCCTGGGCGTGGTGGCTCACATCTGTAATCCCAGTACTTTGGGAAGCCGAGGCAGGTGGGTCACCTGAGGTCAGGAGTTCAAGACCAGCCTGACAAGTATGGTGAAACCCTGTCTCTACTAAAAATACAAGTTAGCCAGGCATGGTGGTGCGCGCCTGTAGTCCCAGCTACTCAGAAGGCTGAGGCAGGAGAATGGCATGAACCTGGGAGGCAGAGCTTGCAGTGAGCCGAGATCGCACCACTGTACTCCAGCCTGGGCAACAGAGTGAAATTCCATCTCAAAAAAAGGAAAAAAAGAAAGAAAAAACAATCAGCTACGGCAAAGACAGAGCAACCCCAAGGGCTGCTGGTTGTCCGTTTTTATGGTTATTTCTTGATGATATGCTGAACAAGCAGTGGATTATTCATGCCTCCCCTTTTGAGACCAAATAGGGCAATTTCCTGATGTTGCCCTGGCATTTGTAAACTGTCATGGTGCTGGTGGGAGCGTAGCAGTGAGGTCACTCTCATTGCCATCTTGGTTTTGGTGGGGTTTGGCTGGCTTCTTTACTGCAGGCTGTTTTATCAGCAAGGTCTTTGTGACCTGTATCTTGTGTTGACCTCCCATCTCATCCTGTGACTTAGAATGCCTAACCTTCCGGGAATGCAGCCGAGTACGTTTCAGCCTCATTCTACTCAGCTCCTATTCAAGGTGGAGTTGCTCTGGTTCACATGCCTGATAGACTGGAGGTACAGGTAGATCTCACAGAGCAGCCAGTATAGTCTGGATGAAGGAACAAAGGAAACGACGCAGTTCCCTTGTACCATTCATGCTGAAGAGGTCTTATAGAATTAGGCCTCCAGAAAGAGGGGGCCCACAAAGACCCTCCCCTTCTCTCCATTTCTCCATCTGCCCTCAATACCCCTCTTCCTGCCAACCCCTCTTTCATGCAACTAGACCCGATACCTTTCTCTTTTCCTCCAGATACTTCTCTTCGCAGTTTACCGTTACCCTAACCTTGTTTTTTTCCTGCTTAGTCCAGCATTTCCTCAGAAATGTATCTTAACATCTCCCACTATGCTTGTGGATTTGTCTATTTCTCTTTTGATTTCTGTCAACTTTGTTATGTATTTTAAAGCTTTGTTCTTTATTAGGTGCTGCACATCATGTGTGAAAAATTATAGATATCACTTGAGGCCCTATATGATAGTAAGATTTGTTTTTGCTTGTGGAAGGCAGTTGGGGTCTGGGCAGACACCCTTAATCCAGTGGTTTTCAACCACAGGTGATTTTCCCCACCATGGGACATTTGGCAATGTCTGGAGAAAGTTTGGTTGTCAGAATTCGGGGAAGGGGAGTTGCTACTGGCATCCAGTGGTTAAAGGCCGGGAATGGTAAACATTGCATAGGATGGTCCACTGATAATGTCAATATCAGTGTCAATATGAGGTTGACAAAGCTTGAGGTTGAGAAAGCTTGCCCTAATCCAATTATCGGAGGTGTTTGAACCAGAGTAACTCCATCTTGAGTAGGGGCTGCGTAAAATAAGGCTGAGACCTGCTGGGCTGCATTCCTGGAAGGTTAGGCATTCTAAGTCACGGGATGAGATAGGAGGTCAGCAGAAGATACAGGTCATAAAGACCTTGCTAATAAACCAGGTTGCAATAAAGAAGCCAGCTAAAACCCACCAAGGCCAAGATAGCAACAAGAGTGACCTCTGGTTGTCCTCACTGCCACACTCCCACTTGCGCCATGACAGTTTACAAATGCCATGACAACATCAGGAAGTTACCCTATATGGTCTCAAAAGGGGAGGCATGAATAATCCACCCCTTGTTTAGCATATCATCAAGAAATAACCATAAAAATGGGCAACCGGCAGCCCTTGGGGCTGCTCTGCCTATGTGGTAGCCATTCTTTTATTCCTTTACTTTCCTAATAAACTTGCTTTCACTTTATTCTATGGACTCACCCTGAATTCTTTCTTGCTCCAGATCCAGGAACCTTCTCTTGTGGTCTGGATCAGGACCCCTTTCCTGTAACACAGTCAAACGTTAAGCCAATGGGAAGCTGGGTTTCAGTTTTTGTGAGAGTTTCTCTATTTTCATTCCTATTCCTTCTAAAGAGTGAGGCCCTTTGGAAGTTGAAAGCTGGCGACGACTACTCGAGCTCTTCCTTCCTTAGCATGAGACTGCTGGGCGCTTCTCTGCCTCATGAAATAGGCAAATGCCTCAAAATTCAAAGCTCTGCTAACCCTTCTTTCCAGGACCTTGACCCGCAAATCCTCACCCCCTTGGTGGCTCACCTTCAAATATATCTTGTTTGTTTTGCCAGCTTTTCTAGCTGCTCTGGATAGGAGAGCTGATCTGCCAACCTGCCTTTAGGGGAAACAGCAAGAGATTGCCTCTCAGTCTTTTCTTGAAGCTTTCAAATGCAGGCTTTAGGCCTATTGTGACGCTAATACACTCTCCTCTGCCCTTACTTTGCCCATTCTGCATAGAGTGGGCAGCTCTAGTCCCCCAAGCATGAAAGAAGTTGGGTACTCCTGTTTCTGATCATTACTGCCACCAGGAAGAGCTATGGGGTGAGAAGGGGGTGGATTTCTCCCTAGTTATGTAAGAAACAAGCAGGTCTCACCCTTCATTTTTCCTTTCTCATACAAGGTAAAATGCTGCAGTCTCATACGAGGAAGCATATTTTTCCCGTTAACAGTATTTTGATCCTGCTCCTTAGGAAAGAATAAGCCTGGCATTAAAGTGCGGGGAGCGTTCACCTTCCCCCCACCCCAAAGTCTGGCTTACAGTGCTGGAAAACCAAGCAAATGGTGACTGGGCCCGATCACAAATGGATGCGGTCAGCTCCCGTTATTAGGATAGAATTCTAATCAGATTGTGGATCCGATTACCTCTGACTCATAAATCTCCCTCCTTTAGAAAACAGGGATGTCTCATTTACTGGAGGAATGACAGTGTGAATGGAGGCATGGTTGTGTTCTCACCAGCCGAGATAAACGCCGACCAGACCAGCAGACATCCTGTGCTCGCTTCCTTTACTTGGTTTTCAGATGAGGCCTTGGTGTATCACTGGTTTTGTAAGGAATACGAAATAATGACAGAAGTGATTCTTCAGGTCAGTCATTTTATTATAAAATGGAGCCCACAGTCAGGAACTGCTCCCTGAGAGGGCAGGACAGGATTTCCCTGCGCGGGGAGTGAAAGCAGAAGGCGTAGTCACGATGCGCCCCCTACTGGTCAGCGAGGAGAAATCCCTCACCTCAGGTTTCAATTAGTGCGGATGAGTCCTGGTTTAAGAACCTCAGACCCGGCCGGGCGCGGGGGCTCACGCCTGTAATCCCAGCACTTTGGGAGGCCGAGGCGGGCGGATCACGAGGTCGGGAGATCAAGACCAGCCTGGCTAACACGCTGATCTACTAAAAATGCAAAAAATTAGCCGGGCGTGGCGGCGGGCACCTGTGGTCCCAGCTACTTGGGAGCCTGAGGCAGGAGAATGCCGTGAACCCGGGAGGCGGAGCTTGCAGTGAGCCGACATCACATTACTGCACTCCAGCCTGGGCGATTAGAGCGAGACTCCGTCTCAAAAAGAAAAAAAGAACCTCAGACCTGAGGCCGGGCGCGGTGGCTCACACCTGTAGCCCCAGCACTTTGGGAGGCCGAGGTGGGTCGATCACTTGAGGCCAGGAGTTTGAGACCAGCCTGGCCAACATGGTGAAACCCCGTCTCTGGTAAAATAACAAAAATTTAGCTGGGCGTGGTGGTGCATGCCTGTAATTCCAGCTACTTGGGAGGCTGAGGCAGAAGAATCCCTTGAACCCGGGAGGCGGAGGTTACAGTGAGCCGAGATGGCGTCATCGCACTCCAAAGAATCACAGAACTGGCCGGGCGCGGTGGCTCACGCCTGTAATCTCAGCACTTTGGGAGGCCGAGGTGGGCGGATCACGAGGTCAGGAGGTGTAGACCAGCCTGACCAACATGGCAAAACCCCCTCTCTACCAAAAAATAAATATAAGAAAATTAGCTGGGCGTGGTGGTGTCCAACTACTGGGAAGGCTGAGGCAGGAGAATTGCTTGAACTGGGGAGGCCAACGGAGGTTGCAGTGAGCCTAAATCATGCCACTGGACCACACTGGGTGACAGAGAGAAACCTTGTCTCAAAAAAAAAAAAAAAAAGAAAAAAGAAAAAAAAAGAAAAGAAAATTTACCGAGAATCCCAGAACTGAAGTGGAATTCCATGAATCCAATAGAATTACATTAAATTCCATGAGCTGGAATCCAATTCCATGAATGAAATTTCATGAATCCGATGGGATTCATGGAATTGCTAACACATGGTGAGATACTAAGGAGGTTAAGATGAAGAGCCCCTGTCTCAGGACTCCAGGGCCTAATTTCACAGCCACTAACTGCTAAGGTCAGAGGTAGCCTTAACTTGTACTATACTCATAAATCAATCTCCCTGGAGATTTCAAACCTTCAAATTGCTTTCGTAAAGCCTTAACTCCTTCTAACCTGAGGAATTCGATTGAAAAAAAAAAGTCTTAGCTCTAAAGAAAGATTTTGAGTTTCTCATTCCAGTGGACCACAAAAAAAAAAAAAAAAAGAAAAAAAAATCGCATTTGTGCAAAATCAACCATTTACATTTTATACTAATCAATAAGTAATTCTTGGGCCTTGTGCTTGTTTGTAAACACATGCCTTCTCTCTTTCATTCTAACCTGAAACTTCATCCTTATCTATTCTTGCAATGATTATTAAATGTAATTTTATTTTAAAACAATATATTTTCTTTTGTTAATTTCTTAGTTTTTTTTTCTTTTCTTTTCTATAGACAGAGCCTATGTCGCCCAGGCTGGAATGCAGTGGTGCGATCTCGGCTCATTGCAACCTCTCCTTCCTGGGTTCAAGCTAGTCTCCTGCCTCAGCCTCCCAAGTAGCCGGGATTACAGGCTTGCGCCACGAAGCCTGGCTAATATTTTTATTTATTTATTTATTTATTGTATTTTTAGTAGAGACGGGGTTTAGCCGTGTTGGCCGAGTTGGTCTCAAACTCCTGACCTCAAGTGATCCACCTGCCTCGGCCTCCCAAAGTGCTGGGATTACAGGCGCGAGTCACCGCACCTGACCTAATTTTTGAATTTCTATTGATATACTGTAGTTGTACTTATTGTGAGGATACATGTGATATTTTAATACATGTATACAATGCATAGGATCAAATCAGGGTAGCTGAGATATCCATCGCCTCTATGTATTTTCTTATATCTTGATCATTAGAGTGAAATATAAGGAACAAAACTCTAAAATGGAGAAGTTACCATGTTTTTCATATTTTTAAATCCTAAGGGTTTGAAAGGTATATATTTGGGATAATGGACCTTTTTGTCTTTTTTTGTCTGGAGGAAATTTGTGACCCAATCATTAGTCAAAATTATCTCCAAAAAATGTTAATGAAACTGGGCACCTTTTGGGGGACTTTTTTTTTTCTTTTGAGGCGGAGTCTTGCTCTGTCGCCCAGGCTGGAGTGCAGTGGCGTGATCTCGGCTCACTGCAAGCTCTGCCTCCCGGGTTCCCGCCATTCTCCTGCCTCAGGCTCCCGAGTAGCTGGGACTACAGGACCCCGCCACCACGCCCGGCTAGTTTTTGTTATTGTTGTTGTTGTTTGTATTTTTAGTAGAGACGGGGTTTCACCGTGTTAGCCAGGATGGTCTCAATCTCCTGACCTCGCGATTCGCCCGCCTCGGCCTCCCAAAGTGCTGGAATTACAGGCGTGAGCCACCGCGCCCGGCCGAAACATTTAAAAAATACGTCAGCGACTTCAATGTCAGAGGGTGGACAGAGTTGGCTGAGAACAGTCACATTTAGGCAAGAGTCTTGTGTGCACTCTTTTGGTTATGAAAATGTAGGGCAAGTAAGCACTCGTTGCCCTGAGTGAAAAGTGACAAAAACATTTTTTTAAAGGGTTAATGAAGCCTGTCCCTCCCTTAATACCTCTTGTTGGGCAAATTTCATTGTTGGACTGGGGCTCAGGCCTGTAATTCCAGCACTTTGGGAGGCCAAGGCAGGCAGATCATCTGAGGTCAGGAGTTCGAGACCAGCCTGGGCAACATGGCGAAATACAAAAGTACTAAAAATACAAAAATTAGCCGGGCGTGGTGGCGGGTGCCTGTAATCCCAGCTACTTGGGATGCTAAGATGGGAGAATCACTTGAACCAGGGAAGTGGAGGTTGCTGTGAGCTGAGATTGCACCACTGTACTCCAACCTGGGCCACAAGAGTAAAATTCCATCTCAAAATAAATAAATAAATAAATAATAAAAAATAAAAATTGAGAGACTTCACAGGAACAAATTTCTGGTCTTTCTGGAAAATTGGAAATCTCTTGTGACACTGGACCAACGCCCCACATGACTATTGCTGCCTGGGGCCGAGCCTCAGTCTCTGGGTCTGCCCCCATCCTACATCCCACTTGTGACAGCTTGGCTCTGTCAATCCTCCACCTGGCTGGCCTTGTGAACTTTGAGATCGCACCTTGTAGAAGGCTTGTGCTGGGATAGAGCTGGCTCAGTGCTGGGGGATCCCTGAAGGGACCCCAGAATTTGAATTCCAGGTTCCTGGAGGATATCAGCTGAAGGCTCAGCTTTCTGTGTGCCCTGTAGGCATAGATAAGTTTGGTGTTCAGGAGAAAGAGGGTACCAGAGCTCCAAGCTTGTTCCAGCGCTTTGGATCCATTTCCATCGGTTCTTACAGCTGCTCCTCAGACTCTAGCAGCCAAGATGGTGAAGCGAATTGAGAGCAAGTTTGCTTTTCAGGAAGCCTTGGAGGCTGCAAGTGATAAACTTGTCATAGTTGACTTCTCAGCCACGTGGTGTGGGCCTTGCAAAAAGATCAAGCTTTTCTTTCATTCCCTCTCTGAAAAGTATTCCAACATGGTATTCTTTGAAGTACATGTGGCTGTCAGGATGTTGCTTCAGAATGTGAAGTCAAATGCATGCCAATCTACCAGTTTTTGTTTGTTTGTTTGCTTGCTTGTTTTTGAGACAGAGTTTTCCTGTTGTCCCCCAGGCTGGAGTGCAATGCAAGATCACGGCTCACCGCAACCTCCACCTCCTGGGTTCAAGTGATTCTCCTGCCTCAGCCTGCCAAGTAGCTGGGATTACAGACATGCGCCACCAGGCCTGGCTAAGTTTTGTATTTTTAATAGAGAGGGGGTTTCTCCATGTTGGTCAGGCTGGTCTCGAACTCCTGACCTCAGGTGATCCACCCACCTCAGCCTCCCAAAGTGCTGGGATTACAGGTGTGAGCCACCGTGCCTGGTCCTTTCCAGTTTTTTAAGGGACAAAAGTTGGGTGAATTTTTTGCAGCTAATAAGGAAAAACTTGAAGCCACCATTAATGAATTAGTCTAATCATGTTTTCTGAAAACATAACCAGCCATTGGCTATTTAAAACTTGTAATTATTTTTATTTACATAAAGTATAAAGTATAGAGACTATAAACCCAACTGCCATCTGGATGACAATAAAATATTAATTCTACCCTTTTTTTTTTTTTTTTTTTGAGACAGAGTCTCACTCTGTCACCCAGGCTGGAGTGCAGTGGCCGGATCTCAGCTCACTGCAAGCTCCACCTCCCGGGTTCATGCCATTCTCCTGCCTCAGCCTCCCGAGTAGCTGGGACTACAGACGCCCGCCACCGCGCCCGGCTAGTTTTTTGTATTTTTAGTAGAGATGGGGTTTCACCTTGTTAGCCAGGATGGTCTCGATCTCCTGACCTCGTGATCCGCCTGTCTCGGCCTCCCAAAGTGCTGGGATTACAGGCTTGAGCCACCGCGCCCGGCCATTTCTACCCTTAAAAAAAAAAAAAAGAGGGTACCAGAAACAGACCCAGAGATGACTGGGGTCTGGGAGGAGGAAGCTGGAGAACCAGTGAGTGTGAACAGTATGCGTCAGTCAGGGTTCCCCATAGAAACAAAATATACAGTGCTTGTGTGGTGGGGATGTGTATGTGTGTGTGGGTTTCATTTTTATTATAAATAGAGACTGGTTTTTGCCATGTTTCCCAAGCTGGTCTTGAACTCCTGGGCTCAAGCAATCCACTCTCCTCGGTCTCCCAAAGTGCTGGGATTATAGGCATGAGCCACCGCACCCAGCCATGTGTGTTGGTTTTTTTTTTGTTAGTTTTTTTTAAGAATTGGCTCACATGATTGTGGGGACAGACAAGTTGGAAAGCTGTAGGGTAGGGCAGGGCAGGGCATCAGGCTAGAAACTCAGCTGGGGCAGATGCTGTAGTCTTGAGGCAGAATTTCTTCTCCTCTGGGAGCAGTCAGCTGATGGTATATGTTAACGGAGTCTGCAGAATATGTGCTCAGCAGCATCTAGTGTTGGAGTTAAGTAGCTGGGTGCTATGGTCCAGCCAAGGTGCCGCCTGAAACACCCTCACATGGTGGGAAGAGCGCGGATGAGGAAGGAACCCTGGAGACCTTGATGTTGAAGAGAGGGCAAGGGAAGAGGGTGAGTCAGAGCCTGCTGGGGAGGAGAGCTGGAGACATTGCATAACACCGGTGACAGTGTGTCCACAGGAGTGGTTTCGGTAGGGGTGAGTGCAGGAATGGATGGCTGTGGGTGGATCAGGATGTGGGAGGTGAGGGGGCTTAGCTGACTCTTCCACGACATGTGATCAGAAAGTGGGGATGGTGAGCCGGGGGCAGTGGGCCGGGCATGGTGGCTTACGACTGTAATCCCAGCACTATGGGAGGCCAAAGTGGGTGGATCACCTGAGGTCAGGAGTTCAAGACCAGCCTGGCCAACATGGTGAAACCCCATCTCTACTAAAAATACAAAATTTAGCTGGGTGTAGTGGCGCATGTCTATAATCCCAGCTACTTGGGAGGCTGAGGTGGGAGAATCGCTTGAACTTGGGAGGCGGAGGTTGCAGTGAGCTGAAATCGCACTACTTCACTCCAGCCTGGGCAACAGAGCAAGACCCTGTATCACCAAAAAAAAAGTCAGGGCAGGGGTACAGTGAGGAGGAAGTGTTTCTTTTTGGTTTGTGCTTTCTGTAGGCTAAGGAGAAGAAAAGAGCCAGTGGAGAGAGAGAGATGAAGTGGAAGACAGTGAGCGAGGGGCTGGCAGGATGATTTTCCCTCTCCAAACCAGAGGAGACCTTCTTGCTCAGCCTCCACGCAGCCGGCCAGATCCTAGGGCAAAGCTCTGGCTAGAGAAGGCAAGGACAGGCAAGAGAATGCTTTAGAAAAAGACCCTTTCCATCTGGAATGCTTTTTCCAACCCCCTTCGCACCTTCAGGCTGGCTTCTAGTTGCACCAGGAACTCTGGGCCCACTTGTGAGGTACGGGGGTGACCTGTCCATCAGGAGGACCTGTGGCTGCCTCCTCATCCCTTCCACCAAGCACAGGATGGCGCCATTGCTGGCTTCTGCTGCCCTCTCTTGTGGTCCTGTACCTCCTCACCTGCTCAGATGCTCCCCGGGGACTGATGTAGCTCTTCCTGGTCTCCACTGGTTCTTACTGGGTAGTGCTGGACAATACCTTAGAGTACCAGGAAGGCAGGGACCTGGCCAAGTGCACATACACGAGCGGAGGAATTTTTACAAAGCGACAAAGTATAACGTGGGAATTACAGATCTTCCTTACATTTCTTTTGTTGTTTTTATTTTGAATTATGTATCGAGGGAAGCGCTACAATTTTTTCCATAGGTGGGTGTCTAGGGCTTCTCCAGCCCCGCTCTCAGCCCTCTGCACTCACACTTTGAGAGCCACAGGATGTGGAAGGGCACCAGAATCACAAAGGGTGGGTGTGCCTGCTGGAGCTTTTTTTGTGCTGCCTGAAAGTTCAAAACACGCTGAAACAGGGAAAGAAAGGTATTTGCCCAAGTGACTAAGACATGTTCCAGCATTTTCCCACAGGCTTCTGCATATCTCAAAATAACTGCAACCCTGGATCCTGTCTGTTGGCATTCGATTACATTTGTATAATGTTACAGACAGTGGGCCGGCCAGCCAGCCACACTCACACAGGGGCTTGCAGGACCGCACAGCCCATAATGGAACTCCATGCTATGCATCCTGGCTAGGCTGCCAAGGGAGAAATACCAAGGCAGAGACCACAACAGTAGCAAGTGCAGACCTGCCAGAAACATCCAGATCACCAAGAGGCAACTTGGGCAAGGCCCTCCTTTCACAGATGAGAGCAAAGGGCACAGAGAGAGGAAATAACTTACATAAATTAACTTAAATAAATTACATATCTGGGAATTATGAAAGGAAGTTGGTGAAAGAGTTGGTCCTAAACTCACATCTCCTAAAGATGGTATTTATTTGTGCAGGAACATCAATTTAGCCTTAGAATCATAACATCTTAAGTGGAAGGGAGTTTTAAGCACCCCCTGGCCATCCAGGGTGCCTCTGTGCCTGGGTCTGGACAACAATGTGGGAAGAAGGAAGTGTTGGAATGAACCTGCCACCCCTGTGGGGATTCACAGTCTTGCTGAGGAAATGACTCAGGGTGTTGAGAAAACAACTGGGTTTTGGCAAATGCACAGAAGGGTGCTGGGAGCTTTGGGAAGGGAGAGTCTGACAAGGAATGCGTGGTCCAGGCCGGGAAACTTTCAACCCAAGGTGGGCCTCAGAGTGGGAAGATCTGGAGGCCAGGCATGGTGGCGCACATCTGTAATCCCAGCACTTTGGGAGGCTGAGGCGGGCAGATCACTTGAGGTCAGGAGACTAGCCTAGACTGGCCAACGTGGCAAAACCCCATCTCTACTAAAAATACAAAAATTAGCCAGGTATGGTGGTGCATGCCTATAATTCTGGCTGCTCAGGAGGCTGAGGCAGGAGAACTGCTTGAACCCGGGAGGCAGAGGTTTCAGTGAGCTGAGATTGCACCACTGCACTCCAGCCTGGGTGACAGAATGAGACTCTGTCTCAAAAAAAAAAAAAAAAAAGGAGTGGGAAGATTTGGAAAAGCAGATGTGGGGGGCCCATGCAGGCATCACAGGAAATAGCCCTGATGCTCGGTAGATGCTCAGTGGCTGTAGCCCCCCAATGCTTACAGGGGCCAAGACAGTTGAGTCACCAAGAGGGTGCAGCTAGCTCTATGCCCTGCTCCCCACACAAGGCCCAGGGGCCACCAACACAGGCCGGATAACTCCCGTCCTGATGCCCATGGCATGTTTCAATTTGGATGATTGAAAATATTCCAACCACATTAAAGAGCTACTTATTTGATGATGTTTAGTGATAAAAATACTATCAACCTAATTCAGTAACCATTCAAGCAGACTTAACGTCATATGAGGTCCACTGAGTCCCAAAAAGAAGTGGTCACATCAACTTTTTTGAGACCAAGCCTCACTCTGTTGCTCAGGCTGGAGTGTAGTAGCGTGATCTTGGCTCGCTGCAACCTCTGCCTCCCAGGTTCAAGCAATTCCCGTGCCTCAGCCCCCCAAGTAGCTGGGATTATAGGCGTGTGCCACCGCGCCTGGCTAATTTTTGTATTTTTAGTAGAGGCGAGGTTTCACCACGTTTGCCAGGCTGGTCTCGAACTCCTGACCTCAAGTAATCCACCCGCCTCGGCCTCCCAAAGTGCTGGGATTACAGGCATGAGCCACCGCACCCAGCCTGGTTCATTTTTAAAATAGTCCAGTAGGCTTTTGTTTTTTTCCTATTTACATGTTCCGAGTTTCTAGAATCAGTGGCATGTCGGCTTGTACTCCCCAAATGAGTTCACCCAGGAATGATGTTGGCAGATTCCCATGGGAATGACTTCAGCCTTCCTCAGCAGGCTAACAGTGGCAAGCACACCAGTGTGTATTTTTGTGCAGCATCGTCAGGCGCCAGTATTAAACTCCATACAGTCATGAGAAGTTCAGCTCGGGGGCTCTTAAGTCAGCACCTCACTGAGAGTTCCAAGGTCTCAGGCCTTTCTCTTTTCACTTTATTTGGCAAGCGGTTAAATAAATAAATAAAATAAAAAAGTAAAAAAATCCAGCAGATCTCCACGCTGTGGGGCTGTGGTCCCTCCCAAGCTTTAAAAAAAAAAAGAAAAAACCACTGGCACAGCAAGAAGAATCTCCTTCTACCCAGGCCTGAGTAT